CAGATGCAGTTTTACGTTGAATTTAGTAGCGAGACCGTTTGCGCTAGTTTAGCTTGATTTACTTAGTTGTCGCAAGTAGTTTTTCTGATATTTCGTGTAAAATGAATTAGGTTTCATATTTATTGGCGAATCCATTTGTTTTTCTTTGGAGGATAAAATCAGAGTTAAAGAACTTGGTCGACCTACTCCAACCCTTAAAATAACACAGGATGCGAAAAGCAAAAGTTCTACTTACAAGCGCCAATTTCACGTAAAAACATATGAAGAAAATAAGTGGATTTGTGGATGTGAGATAAAAAATGCACTGTTTTGCTTTCCGTGCTTGTTGTTTGGCGGTGAAAATTCCTGGAGCAAATTAGGTGTAACGGATTTGAATCACTCAAGCAATTTAATTAAGACATTCTCAAAATAAAACACCTAATAAATGTTTTAAATTTAGCGAATATAGGTAAAGTGAATATTGCTAATCAAATGTCAATTCAAAAGTATAATGAGAATGTTGAGAAAAATAGGTATATATTAAGCAAAATAATCGATTGAATTTGCAAGTTTTGTGGTGCATTCGAATTAGCTCTACGTGGGCACGACGAAAAAGAAGACTCTTTAAATCCAGGCGTTTTCAGAGGTCTTTTGGATCTTATGGGCATTGTCGATAAAAGATCATTTTAGCAGAGGAAGTGCGTTCAAAGGACATTCGAAAACAATACAGAATGAACTTTTGACTGTATGTTAGAGGACTGCCAAGATGAGAATACTACAACAAATGCATGTCTTCAAGTTCATTTCTATTATAGCAGACGACACCACCGACATTTCCGGCAAAACACAGACTTGCATTATCGTGAGATATTTTTACAAAGGAAAAATCTGGTCATTTGTCAATCCGTGTGGACAGGACGCAGAGGCTATATCTCAGGAAGTTATAGACGCTTTAAATGTCATGGTTAAAACCAACGTACAACAATTTATTTCCCAAAGTTACGTCGGAGCAGCTGTAATGTCTGGAAAAATCAATGAGGTACAAGCAAAAGTCAGAAGCAAGTTTGTCAATGCATACTATACTCATTGTTACGCACATCAACTAAACTTAATTATGTCTCAGAGCACATCAAGCAATAAATCAGTCAAAGTATTTTTTGCAAATTTGTCTGCTATTCCAACATTTTTTTCAAATTCCCCGCACGTATATCAGCATTAGATGAATCAGTTGCTCGTAGAATACCATCTGTTTGTACAACTCGATGGAGTCACCAATCAAGGGCTGTAGATGTTGTTTTTCAAAATCGTCAAAAACTGATCGAATGTTTTGAAGAACTCCAGAATTCTTCTTCCGTTGAAACTGTAAGAAAAGCGAGTGGCTGTCTACGACTCTTGGAAGACTTTGATTTTAATTTTTGGTTAAACTTTTTCGTATGGAGTTTGTATAAAAAAAATAAATTTCAATAAAATTAGGAACTTCAAAATGTTTGGTTTAGAATTTTAAGAGTTTGTTTGTTATGAATGAAAAAATACAATAAAAGGAGTTCTCAGTAGAGTCAGTTGTTTTTTTTTTTTTTTTTATTTCTACTTTTAGGTACCTGAATTGGAAAATTATCAAATTAATTCAAAATTGCGCAGCACAGCAATAAATTGCCACGAGCCGTCACTGTTTAGAAGTTATATATAGCCTGGGTAAAACAATTTGGGAGACCAGCAGCGCTATTCTTGGCATCCTTCGCAAATATACGTGTACTCAACCTTGCGAAGGGTTCACTTACGCATATTTTCCTAAAAGGAGATTCTTGAAACCCCTTCGCAATTACTTGCGAATGGTCTACATTCTCACTTTGGCAACGTTACAATTATATTAAACTGACAGCATGATACTAATATTTTGTATCATGGAATGACAGTTTTCATTCTGAGTGCACTTAGCTCTTCAAAATTTCTTGGGAAATGTTAAATTTATTAAAAATAATCTGGTTAATTTGAAGCAGTGCTGATTTATTAAGGGCATCGGTACACTGATGTCCGGGAAACTGATACAAATAAATTTCTACAAAATATTGATTGTTTAAAGTTAGATGAATGTTCTACTTTTGTACATAAAAGTACATTAGAAATTGTTCGTGATCAATTAAATCTAGTAACACTCAAAAGAAAGAGATATTCTCCAGAAACAATATTATTTTCATTTTTAATTTTCTCATTGTCACCAGCCTGTTATAACTGTATTCACCAATATTTGATGTTACCCAGTAAAAGATATTTACAATATTTAGCTTATAGTTTTAACATTTCCCCAGAAAATCAAAAAAAATACAGCTCATTATCTTAAATATGTTTCGTCAGATTTAATTTTACGTGAACGTTATGTTTCTCTATTAGTAGATGAGATTTATGTTAACCCTTTCACTGCCCAGAACACGCCTGGCGTGTTCAGTAAGATATCTACAAGGTGCCCCGGACACACCTGGTGTGTTCCGAAGGTATTTAGCTAATATTGAGTTTCACGTTTTAGGCACATGTAGTACGATACTGGGCGATTGGGGGCATATCTAAAATAGCATAAAATATTATAACCATGTGGTGGTTTTGAGGTTAGTTGTCTTTGAGCGGTAGTAGTAGATACTTGTCTGCGTACTGTAATGTTCATCTATAAAGTGATATTTTGAGAAGTTTTCGGCATATATAAATAAAAATAGTTGCAAATAATATCTGAATACTACATTGTAGTGTTTTAGGTATAATTCAAAGATGGAACGGGATGAAAATCAGCCATCAACGTCTAGAAAAAAAGTGAGGTTAGATAAACAAAAACCTTGTAGTGATGAACAACTTTTGAAAATGTTGGAAAACTCATCTGACGAATTTGATGAATCGGATGAAGATTTTGATATAGAAAATGAAGTTGTCAGTGATTCAGAAGGTTGGGATGATAGTAATATTCTGACTGCTGTTCAAACAATTGCTGCTGCGCCTGCTGTTCCGCTATGGTTACCAGAACGCCCACAGGTAACTCAAATACCATTTAGAGGAAATACTGGGTTGAAAGCAGGGTTAGATGCTAGGGAACCATTAGATTATTTTAATTTATTATTCGACGATCATTTTTTTCAATTAGTCGTTGAAAATACTAACAGTTATGCAGTTGAAATACTAGTCAATAGTACGAGTGATCAGAGTAGAATAACTCGATGGAAAGGTGTTACTAAGGAAGAGTTTAGAACGTTTTTAGGCCTCTTTTTTCATATGTGGACTATAAAAATTAATAGGATCAACGATTATTGGAGAACCCATTACCTTTTCAATCTCCCTTCTTTTGCAAAGTTTATGAGCAGGAATCGATTTTTGTTGATCTTACGGGCTTTGCACTTTAATGACAACTCGGTTGACGGTAATCAACTGTCTAAAATAACACCTCTAGTTACATTTTTTAATTCAAAAATGGCCCAAATTTATTACCCACAAAAGCTATTGACGAATCTATGGTGCAATGGAGTGGTCGCCTTTCATTTCGGCAATATATGAAAGGAAAGCGTCATAAATATGGTATAAAACTTTATTGTTTAGCAGAACCGAAAGGAATGACGCAGGAGATTCACGTTTACGGGGGATCTTCTGATGCAACTGTTGGCGGGAAAAATCATGTGCAAAAAGTTGTCCATACATTATTGGAAGGAAAAAAAGGCCACTCTGTCTACATGGATAATTTCTATAATAGTGTAGAGTTATCAGAACGATTATTAGCAGAGAAAACCTATATTACTGGTACCCTAAGACCAAAACGAATTGGAAATCCAACAGAAGTGATATCAAAAAAACTTAGAAAGGGAGAAACATATTGCTTATATTCAAATCAAGGACTTTGCGTCAGTAAATGGTGTGGTAATATTTCTATGGTTATTCTATAATTGTCATTATGTTAGTTAATCTTGTCAAGCTAATTGTCATTTTTAATTGATTAAACCTTTACAAAAGGAGTATAATTCATTTCAAATGGATGGACAATAAAGAAGTTTTGACAATCTCTACAGAACATTCTGGAGAAATGGTAGAAACTGTTTCCAAAAAACAACAAAGGAAGTTTAAACCTCAAACCATCGCTGAATATAATAAATTTATGGGGGGCATCGACAATGGTGACCAAATGATGTCCTATTATGCCTGCCTCCATAAAACCCTACGATGGTACAAAAAATTAGGATTACATATATTCCAAATGATGTTCATAAATTCTTATTATTTGTACAATAAATACGGTAGCAGGAAAATGAATTTATATGATTTTCGGTTGGTTGTCTTGGAAAAATTATTGCCATCCCCTCCGGAACCACAAAATGAACGCCAATTACGTCAGCATTATCCCCAAAATTGTGAAAGAGGCTAAGATGGGAAAACCAAAAGACGTCGGTGTAAATATTGTTGGGATAATAGAAACGTTAGAAAAGCAACAATAACGTTCTGTCCGCAGTGTCCAACTAAACCGGGTTTGTGTTTGGATTCCTGTTATAGACTTTTTCATGAGAGACTATAATTTTCTATATTTACTCTACCAAAGAATTTTAGTTCCTTGTTTCCTGTTTTCTTTTCCTTTATTTTTATTTTAGTAAATGAATGTATTTTGTGTTAATAAATTATTTTTTTTTATGATAGACTTTTATTTCCAATTGTCTTTTATCTCAACTAACAATTACTGGAAAGACACGCTAGGAGTGTTCTGGGCATATTTAACCGAATAGTGTGCCTATGTGCCCCGAACACGCCTGGCGTGTTCTTGTCAATTTTGACAGTTTGATACATATAGGTAAATATAAATACATAAATAAATAACGTGATAATATTTTATTTAAACATTAAAAATATCATGTGGGCACCGCCGTATAACTTACAGATCGGCGAGGCAGTGAAAGGGTTAATTGTGCTTTGAATTATAAAAATCAAAATGTTGGATTTGCCGATAACAGTAATGAACACTTAGCCAAAACAGTTCAAAGTTTTATTACTTCAACATTTGGGAGCTTTAGAGAAATTGTCCGATTATCACCTGTCAAGTCTATAACTGGTTCTGACTTAAAAGACATGGTGTTACAAACAACATTTGTACTAAAATGTGGTTTTACAGTTGTTACTGTTATTACTGATGATAACCGAATAAACCAGAAAATGTTTAATCTGTTTGTGAGTCAATGAAAAACCCAATAAATGAAGATTTAGTGATATATTTAACATATGATTTTGTTCATGTTTTTAAAAATATTCGGAATAATTGGATTAATCTAAAAAATGATATGAAAACATTTGTATATCCTGATTTTGAAACTAATGAAATATCATTTGCCTCTTTCAAACACTTATGAACTTTATATAATGAAGAAAAAATTAATATTATTCGCAAAGCTTTTAAATTAAATAGAAAAACATTGAACCCTACTAATTTTGAAAGACAGAATGTTCTTTCAGTAGATAATATTTTTCATGACACAACAATTGAACAATTGCTGCTCTAAAAACTAAACCAGGTTGTGAGGGTACTGTTAACTTTTTACAGATTATAAGAAGGTGGTGCGATATTGTTAACACGAATAACACTTTAAAGGCCAAATTAAAACGAAAAGATAAGTGGAGTGGGCCGATTGTAGATATAAATGACAATAAACTTATTTTTCTAAGACAATTTATAATTTGGTTAGAAAACTGGCACTCTCTTAAAGGAGACTTGGTTGGAAAATTAACAAATGATACTTTCCAAGCAATGCATCAGTGTACCTTAGTACTTATTAAATTTAGTGAATATGCTTTAACAAAATTATCCATATCTTACATTTCATCAGGGAAACTGCAAACTGATAATTTGGAAAGAAGATTTGGAGAATACAGGGGACTTTCAGGTTGTAATTATAATGTATCCTTTAGGCACGTATTAGAATCAGAAAAGAAAATTCGAATTAATAAATTATTTCATTATATAAAAGACAATAACTTACCTCTAACGCTTAATAATACCAAACATAGTTCAGAACAGGCTGAACATAATTATACGTGTCTTTTTTTCCACCGGTTTGTTGCAACCGTTGCGGCCTTGAACGTTTTGCGTTGGATTCGATACATTTTTGGTTGACCGTTGAAATAAATAACAGTTGACATACCGCACCGATGCCAACGTTGCTGCAACAGTTGGATAAAAAGACACACGTTATGCTAATACTTATGCAGTTAACTGTTCAGAATTTTATTCAGTATTTACAAAAATTGAATTAGAATCTAGGGAGATAGATAATTCTGTACAAGAATATATTTGTGGTTATGCTATTCATTCTCTTATTTAATGTTCAAATTGTCCCAAATGTTTGTGTCTTCTCGTGGAATCGAAAGGTTTAGAATTTAATGATATCTATAATGATCATTTGCAGAGAGGAGGTTTATATAAAGCTACTGCTTATGTTAAAACAGTTTTTTTTCACACGAGTTGCATTTTTCAAACTATACTTGAGAACACTGATTTAGAAGATAAATTTTTTAAATGTGAAAATCAACATTCAATAGCAGTAAAGTTGACGCAAATAAGTCTGGAGGCAAATTATTTTTTTAAAGAATTTAATGATGAATATCCACTGTGGAGAACACATAGGCAAAATCATACAAAAGATTATATCTACTTTTGCTAATATTTTGTTAAATAATTTTACTAAATATTATAATGATGCCTACAAAGAACAAGTTAACAATGAAAAACGTACAAAGCGCATTAAAAAAGCATTAAATAAAGAAAATAAACAAAGAAAAATAACATTAGAAAATTGATTTTGTATTTTTATGTTATGTATTATAATACAGTTAAATAAATATTTTTTGTATGTCTAGACCAACCCATTGTAATTTATTATTGTTTATAGTGAATAAATATTTTTTAAGTGTTAATAATTATTTTGGCCTTCCTATTATTTTCAGAAACTGTTGTTATAAACTCATTTAGCTCATAAGTAATGCTTTCCTTTGTTAAGTTCGAGTCTCGTTAATGTTGATCTAAGATGTAAATGAAGTGTACAAATGTCAGATGTCAAAAAAAGGTTGACTTGATTTTGTACCCTTCAAGAAGACACTAACAGAAAGATGGAGGTGATGCCTCATTCGTTGTAAGAGTTTGTATTTGCTCAGTTATAATAAATATTAGAAATAACCATTGCGTATATTTATATAATATCACAAGAAGATATTCAGAACAGGTTATGGGCCCAGGTATGCTAAAGATTAAAAAGTAAAAATATCAATTCAGAGAAGCCCTTGTGAAGAAAGGAAAATGGCGTCAGAGAAACCAAAAAATAATTTTAATATAGAATTACTTAATTCAAATAATTACCACATGGAAATTTCGCATGCATGTTTTGTTTGAAGAAAAAGATGTACTACAAAGTATTAAATATGAATATAAAGAAGAAAACTATGATAATGAAGCCAAAAAGAAAGAAGCCAAGAGTAAAGATAACAGGTGCAAATCATTTATAGTACAATGTCTAGATGACAACCAAATTGATTTGATACGAAACAAAGATACAGCTTTTAGCATGTGGAAAAGCTTAGAAGAAAGGTATGAAAAGAAAGGAATTCCGGGGCAGATGATTTTAAGGAAAAAGTTAATGACTATGAAATTACAAAAGGCAAATGAATTAGAAATTTTCTTATCAGAATTTGAAGAAATCGTTCGACAACTCAAAGTAACAGGAGCTGAAATTAAGGATGAAGATTTAGTGTGTACTTTACTACTTGCGATGCCTCCAGCATTTGAAACAGTGATTACAATATTAGAAAATATGAATACCGAGGACCTTACATTTGAAATTGCAAAAACTAAATTGCGAAGTGAGATTGAAAGAAGAAAAGCAGTAAATAATGAAGGTAGAGACAATATTAAGCATGCAGTTTTTTTAGTAGCCAACAGAGAAGGAAATTGTTTTACATGTGGAGGAAGAGGACATTACAAAAGGGAATGCAGGAGTAGAAATATGTGTAGAGGTGGTTTTCGAGACCATAATAGAGGAACATTTGGAAATAATAGAGGTTTTTGTGGAAATAGAGGATTTAGAGGTCAAAACTACAGAGGAGGTTATAGAGGTGTTTTCAGGGGTAATTTCAGAGGTAATTACAATTATAGAGGAAATGGGTATCAAGAAAGTGAAAGAACTAGGGATGAAAATGCACAAGGTAACTTTGTACAACAAGAAAATGACATTGAAAACAAGGGTATTTGTTTTATGACAAGTTTAAAAGATAACTTAGATACTAAGGACCATGATAATGATGTAAGTAATAATATTTTGTTTTATATAGACTCCGGATGTACTGATCATCTAGTGAATAATAAGAAATATTTTTCCGATTTTGTGTATTTAAGTAATCCTATAAAAATTTCTGTTGCAAAAAATAATGATTTTATGGAAGCCATAGGCGTAGGAAATATAAGAGTAAACAGCTATGTATATGGAAAAGCACAATAATGTACAATTAAAAATGTGTTTTATGTACCGAATTTACGTCAAAATTTAATGTCTATAAAACGTCTAGAAATGTCAAATATAAAGGTTATTTTTGATAATGGTCAAGTATTATTCAAAGGAGATGATATAGTAGGAATAGGGAAAAGAAACAGATTATATAAAATAGTTTTTGAATTAAATATTAAAGAATGTCTAAATGTAGAATCTGAAAATGAAAATGTTAAATTATGGCATAAAAGACTAGGACATATATGTAATACTAATTTAAGTAAGTTAGTAAATAAAAATATGGTAAGAGGTATAGAAAATTTGAAGGTGAGTAAAATTGATTTTTGTGAGTCCTGTATAAAAGGTAAAATGACAAGGCTACATTTTGGCACAAGAACAAAAGCAAAAAGAATTTTAGGTATAGTTCATACTGATATAGCAGGTCCAATTAGTCCATCTAGTCATAATGATGAAAATTATTTTCTTACTTTTATTGATGATTTTTCAAATTTCATTTACGTTTATGTAATTAAAAATAAAAGTGATGTTTTCGATTGTTTTAATGAATATGTCAATACAGTTCAAACTAAGTTTAATTTAAAAATAGCAACTTTGAGGTGTGATAATGGCAGAGAGTATATATCAAAACAGGTGAAGGAATTTTGTAGAAATAATGGTACAGTGATAGATTATACTACCCCATATACACCGGAGCAAAATGGTAAGTCAGAGAGATACAATAGAACATTATTAGACAAAGCAAGAGCTATGATACAAGAAGGAAATTTACCAAAGAAATTTTGGAATGAGGCAATAAGAGTGGCAGCTTATGTCATAAATAGAAGCCCACATAGTAATCTAGAGGATAAGACACCAGCTGAGATATGGAATGGGGAGAAACCCAATATTAAAATCATGAAAATATTTGGATGTAATGCTTATGCACATATACCACAACAATTTAGGGGAAAATTTGAGAAAAAATCTAGAAAATGTATAATTATTGGATATACAAATACAGGATATAGACTATGGGATATAGAAAATGAGAAAATTATAGTTTCCAGAGATGTAGTATTTAACGAAAACAAATTTTACTTTAAAAAGAACAGAATAAATATAGATTTAAGTGAAGAAAGCATTGAACAAGAAAACGAAGAAGATAAAGAAGAACAAATTGATATGATAGAAAATAATGAAGAACAAAAAACACAAGAAGAAGAGGAAAACAATAAAAAACATAAACGAAAGACTAAAATTCCAGAAAGATATACTGATTATGAATTATACATGGCTTTTGATGCGGTGTCATATATAGAAAATGCTCCAGAGTGTATAGATGAACTAAATGATAGAAGTGATAAAAGCATGTGGTTAGAGGCAATGAATAAGGAAATCAATTCAATAGAAAAGAATGAAACCTGGGAAGAGGTTAAAATGCCAAAAGGCGAAGAAATTTTAAGTACGATGGGTATTTGCTATTAAGCCTTATGAAGAGAAAATAGAAGACAAATATAAAGCTAGAATTGTAGTAAGAGGTTTTGCTCAAAAGGAGTCATTTAGTTATGAAGATATTTATTCTCCAGTAGCAAGAATGTCTACAATTAGAACAATGTTATCAGTTGGAAATCAAAATATGCACTATTTTAAACAGCTAGATGTAAAGACAGCTTTCTTAAATGGGGATCTTAAAGAAAATATATATGTGTATCCACCAGCGAATGTGAAATGTAAAGATGGATATATTTTAAAATTGAAGAAATCATTATATGGGTTGAAACAAGCGAGTAAATGTTGGAAATGAATTTTTAATAAAGTTAGAATTCAAAAGATCAGAAACGGACTATTGTTTATATGTGAAAGGAGATGAAAAGGAGACTATGTATTTATTGCTATATGTAGATGACATAATAATTTCAGGACCGGATTTGACATCTATAGAAGAATGTAAAAGACAATTAATAAACGTTTTCGAAATTAAAGATAAGGGTAAACTGAGAAACTTTTTAGGATTGGAAGTAAAATATGAAAGAGAAAAAGGAATATTGCAGATAAATCAAGAGAAATATCTAGAGGGAATAAAATTGTAACCCTTGCACCACCCCTATGGATCCAAAAATAAAATTAAGAGCTGTAGAAGATGATAAACAAGAAAATAGACCAATAAAACAACTAATAGGATGTCTCATGTATTTAATGCTAGGATCACGTCCGGATATTAGTTTTCCATTGAATTATTATAGCAGATTCCAAGATGTTAATTCAGAAGAAGTTTGGTTAGGATTAAAAAGATTGTTACGGTATCTTAAAGGTACATGTAAAATGAATTTAGAGTTTAATAGAAATATAAGTGAGTTTCCAATTAAGTGTTATGTTGATTCAGATTGGGCAGGAGATATATGTGACAGGAAATCAGTTACTGGATATTTAATTAAAGTTTTTGGTAATAGTGTAGTTTGGGTCACAAGAAAACAAAATTGTATTTCACTTTCAAGTTCAGAAGCTGAGTTAGTGGCAGTATGTTCAGCAGTTTGTGAATGTTTATTTATGAGAAAGTTATTAAATGATATGAATATAGCTGTGTCAAATTTTAAAGTTTTCGAAGACAACCAAGGTTGTATTGCATTAATAAAGAACCCTGAAAATAATAAGAGGATAAAGCATATTGATATAAAATATAATTTTGTTTGTGAATGTATAAATAATAAAAGCATGTTTTTAGAGTATATAAATACGAAACTCCAATTAGCTGATATTCTGACCAAAGGACTACACAAGGATCAGTTATACTCAAATAGATTAGGAATAGGTTTGAAATGAGAGGTTATTAACTTGTATGTTAAGGTAAATGTTATTAGGATTGTGTTTTTATGTTACTTTTATTTGTATGCATTTAGTTTTATTTTTAAATTTTATAATATAGAAAGAAAAGCATTAAGAGAGGGTGTTGTTATAAACTCATTTAGCTCATAAGTAATGCTTTCCTTTGTTAAGTTCGAGTCTCGTTAATGTTGATCTAAGATGTAAATGAAGTGTACAAATGTCAGATGTCAAAAAAAGGTTGACTTGATTTTTTACCCTTCAAGAAGACACTAACAGAAAGATGGAGGTGATGCCTCATTCGTT